CATTGATATCTAAAAACCAATTTAGATTTATGCCTGGGAAATCAACAATGAAGTCATTATTTTGTGTGAGACAACTAGTAAAAAAGTTTAGGGAAAAATTTTACTACTATTACTAGAGAAATACAAGAAGAAGTGCCGTTGAAGGTGCATGTTGTTTGCTGACGATATAGTGTTAATAGGAAAAAATGGGTAGGAAATTAATCAAAGGCTAGAGGTGTGAAGATCAATTCCTGAAGAAAAGGGTTTAAGAATAAGTAGGAATAAGACAGAGTATCTAGAGTACGACAAATAGAGTTTGACAAAGGAGAACACGTGGTAGGTGAAATGAGGAGATCAGTGACAATAGGCAAGGACGTGATAGGAAAGGTGGTAAGTTGTTACTGTCAATTTACATCAATTTCACTTGTTATTTATTTTTTGTTTCCCGAAAAAAAGCGCACTATGTTATATTATCAAGTCATAAGTAAGTTGATTATATTTGTATAATTAAAGTTTGTATTTCACATTGTATTTTATAAATGCCCGATTTCCCCCTTTTTTCTACCATATCTTTAGGGTTACCTAATAAATCTCTTAAATTAGATGTTACTAAAGTAATACCAAAATTCTTAAATATTTTAGCTAGCCCATTTGAGTAGCCCGAATAATATAAAATGGGTGATCTAATTACATATGGTTCCCCCACGCTAGTGAGTGTACTAGCTGCCTTCCTCAATTAATTTGTAAATCATACTATTAAAAAGTGTCAATTTGTCAATACAGGTGTGGTTTGATTTGTTTGGAATGTACCTGAACGTGTGCGTGTCTTTTCGATAAATTTCAAAATTTAGTTATCCCTCTGCTCTTTTAACGAATAAATCCAAGAAAGGCAATTTCCCTCTACTTAATAAAGGCCAAACAGATAATTTTAATAAAAGTCCGGTACATTCATTTTCTAAAAACTGAGGGGACGATTTAATTAAAAATTATACGAACATTGTTTCCAAACAAAATTTTATTACATTAGTTTTAGTGTGTTCAACTGCATTTTTTTATAATTATATCATTGATACCAATATCAAAATTCTACAAATCTAGAGTAATCCAACTTTCTTTAAATTTTTTAAAAATTAGTACATTTGGAGTTTAACCTCGAAAATATTTTTTAGTATTAATTCCAAAATATGTCTACGACATGATAAATACAACACATTATGCTCTAGGTATTGTTCAAGCAATATACAAGCGCCATTTAAGCGACCTGTATTAGAAGCTGTTGTGTCACAACACAAGGCCTGTATTTTATTTTTTACATCCCAAACTTATAATATATCAAAAATTGCATTTGCCTGAATCTCGCCAAAACCACTCTCAATTTTTGGACATGTGTTAACGTCAACCTATCGGGACCAAATTTTGCACAGTTTATTTTTACATGTATTAAAACAATTTTTTGGTGCGCGTAAATAGAATTTTGAAAATTTGTAATTAAGGACAACCTAAAAAACATTTTAGGGTGCATTTTGGCAATAATGCCATGGAAGCAGTGCCCCTACATTCAGACTTGCAGCGAGTACATTTTAATTGTTTGAATAATAAGAAATCAAAGTAAATAATGTTGTGTCCCAACTAGGATGAGACACGGGAACGTGTTTGAGTGGAATGTCGTTTGTAATGTGAAATAAAAGTACACTTACATTTAACAAAGAATACAATAATTGGGGATGGTGGTAAGATCAGAGATACCATTATGATATTCTTATATCATAAATTCCTAAAAATGCAACGCATGAAGAATACTACATTATAATAAAGTGAAAAAAAAATATTTAATTCAATTTTCTTTTGAACATTAGTTTTTAGTTGACAATAATCATTTTAAATATATAATTATAATTTCAAAAATAGTAATAATATAACAATTATAATTATAAGAAATATTCATGTATGAAAAAACTAAAATGCCCCTTTATTTGAATTTAATTTAACTTATAATTATAGCAATACTATTTTTTGGCCACTTTAAAATCATAATTTGATACATAAAATTAAAGTTGAGATCCATATAATTTATAAGGAATGGACTTAAAAATTACTTTAAACAGATAAAGGGATATATATCCCATTATCTTGTTATTTAAATATATATATATTTAACTAACAAAAATCAAAAAATAAAAATTTCGTAAACCTATACA